AAGATAACTATTATTGAATATATGTGTATATGTATATATTAATTAATTGATTAATTAGTTATTTAGTATTTACTACATAAGGATAAAAGTAAGAAAAGTATATGACATTTTTCTTCAATGATATATATAGTATTATATGTATATTTTTCATTTATTATTTTGTCATATTTAGTTTGTATTTATTTGACACCTTGTATACGCTTATGTTTTCTCGGACATTATATTGCAGCTTTGCGACGAAATTTCAGTCGAGGAAACAAGCGCAAGCATCGTTTGTTTACAAACTTCCGATGACACACGTACACAGACCACACGTCAGTGTAGTGAGTCACCACTGCAAACAAATGCGTACACACGGACCTACGCGGCATAGGTCCGTAGGCTGCGCCGATAATGTCATTTCATTTTTAGTACCATCGAAATGATGGCGCTTTCGCGTCGGAGTTCGCCCGTCACTTCAGCATCCTCTTTAAATATGTTCCACTATTTTAATCACGTTGTAATAGAAAATTAATACAACTATATTGTACAACAGTCTTTTGGTTTGAAGATGACAGTGTTTTTGTATTAAAATAATATTATTTTGCATGAGTTGAACTTATTTTAAAAATCAGATTTCTATTGATAAAAATAAAATAAGTTTTAATTTTATGAAAAGAATCTATAATGTATAATATTTTTACAAATGTAAGATTGATTTTATAACAAATATTATTGCAAATTACAAATTCCTCGCAAATTGAATTGTTTCTATATACTTGGCTAAGTGACTATTGATCTCATATTTAGTTTTGATATAAATATTTTTTCAAACTATTTTTTAGAATAAGTTATTTGGTAATTATTATTTTTTAGAGATAATATTTTTTTAAATAATATTTTTTAGAGGTAATTTTTTTAAAACTTTTTGTTGCGTACAAGTTGGAATATTTTTTATGTACTTAGCGTATTTTGTTTATTTTTGCAAGGTTTTTTTGCTGTGTTTCCACTGCTTTTTGTAAAAATTAATATTTTTTCTGCAAAAAATATATATGCATCTTTAGCATTTCGAGGCCAACTGCATTTTTGTTTAGTTATTTATCTTATTAGGTAAATTTTATTAACTTGACCTTAATTACAAAAATTTCAAAGATATGTAATTATTTAGATTTGTAACGATAGCTGAAGATGGCTGAATGATTAGCCGAAACGTTTGCTGCTTATAAAAAACATTGGTTATAATAAAAGATATTAAGAACTACAATCTTCTTTGGCTTGAGATCCTCTTGTTACTCCATCGATAATAATTAATAATTAATAAAAATCTGATTATATATGATATACGATTGTAATCCCATTCTTTTAATCAAGTAAATTTCTAGCTGCTTTAGTTCGTAAAATGTCTGAAAATTACATATATGTGACAATAATTATGTGTAATTTTATCTGAATAAATAAAAAGATCCAAGACTGAAAAGAAAAAGATTAAAATAGAGATAAGGCAACATAATTAATTTATTTGTTAAAATAGAAGAATACATATTGCTCATTATATTAATCACCATTATCACCATTAATAGTAATTCACAAAACTTTAATATAAACATACATTAAATCAATACATAAACATAGAGTGCAGAACATACATTAAATTAATACACAAACATAGAGTGTAAAAAATGTGTTATTAATAACATTTTCCCATTAAACTTTAGCATGCAAATCAATTGATATACAGGGTGTCCCATTTTAAGTGGGCACCCCGAATAACTTCGAAGGAAGTAATTTTCAAAGAAAATGACCCAGACAAAAGTTGTTGCACTCAGAGAGGGACATCCAATGGTGACATTGGCTTAACCTAGTACATGCCAAGGTCATATAGAGGTCAATTTTGTTTTTTTAAATAGAACACCCTATTTTTGATTCCAAAATCTAATAGCTGGTATTAAGAACTTTTCAAAACACTATAATAAAGTTATTTTTTATTAAGTACTTTTCGAGTTATGAGGCTGGTAAATTACAGTATTTTGACATAAAATATAAAATATCTTGTAAAATATTCAGTTTTTGAGAATGTTACCTTAATATTTATATGCACAAAATAATGAGACAAATGAATTGGTATAAAAAAACACATTGGTTTTAAAAAAAAGTATGGAGTTGCATGTTGCAAATTACATATTTTTTCTTGAAAGCAACTAAGTGTTTTCTTTATACTAATTAATTCGTCTCATTATTTTGTGCATAAAAGTATTAAGATAAGATTCCCAAAAATTGAATGTTTTACAAGATATTTTGTATTTTATGTCAAAATGCTGTAACTTTCAAGCCTCATAACTCGAAAAGTGCCTAATAAAAATAACTTCATTATAGTGTTTTGAAAAGCACTTGACACCAGCTATTAGATTTTGGAATCAAAAATAGAGTGTTCCATTTAAAAAAACAAAGTTGACCTCCATATGACCTTGGCACATACTAGGTTAAGCCAATGTCACCATTGGATGTCCCCCTCTGAGTGCAACAACTTTTGTCTGGGTCATATTCTTTGAAAATCACTTCCTTCGAAGTTATTCGGGGTGCCCACTTAAAATGGGACACCCTGTATATAAATAAAAGTAGACTAGATAAAATAGAAGAAAATAAGGTAAATTTCTATATTAAGGTAGTCACCTCCGATTTGGTTAAAAATTTACATAGAGCTTTCTTTCGGGCTACAATTAAGAGTTATGATATTTAAAAGTATGAGAAATTATCATATTTAAAGAAATTCAAAGTGGCTGCTTCAAACGTCGTTTTGCGTCAAATTCACGTTTATAAATATTTGTCTTTCGTATGTTGCATACACTGTAGATATTTGTATCAAACACTTGTAAACACTTCACTGAAAGAGATTTCGTTAATATCGTCGGTATTGTTGTACATATAACAATGTCTGGTTATACAGAATTCGTACGAGCAATAAACACAAAAGAAGCAGCTTTTGATTTCCTGTTAGAAAAAGGTATTTTTCAGCAGGAAATAGAATGTCCTCGCTGTAAAAAACGAGGACAGTCTTCAATTTTGCAACTCTGCCGAAAAAATCAAAATTTTGTGTGCTATGTTCGATACACGGATCGTAAAGGGCATCGCAAACGAATTAGCCGCCAGTGTTGTTTTAAGCGCAGTGTTCGTATCGGTACATGGTTTGAACAGATTCGGCTAACATTGTTAACAGCAGTAACTTTCGTGGCACAGTTTTTATGGATGCAGTCTCCACGATGGAACTTCCATAAATCGGATCTACTCTTAGCAAATCAAACAATTACCGACTGGACGAACTTTTGCCGGGAAGTAAGATATTTTCAAAGATATTTTCCGTTTACAAATATTAAAAAATTGATACTCAGTATTTATTATCCATATCTAAAAAGTAAACGCATTTTTGATAAAAATAGAAACTTTTAAAATAATTTATGGTGATAAAACTCTTGCTTAGAATTGAATCTCGCGTTGAATGGAAGGTTGTAAATCCATGTGGATATCGCTTCGCGTGGAAAGTGTATGCGTGGAGGCAGTGTGTTCCGCCCCCCTGCGGGGGGCTCCACCATAAAAAAACTAACCTAACCTAACATTACCTACTTTTGGGTTAATCTAAAATTAGGTTAATTCAAGGATAGGTAGTGTTAGGTTAGGTTAATTTTTTTTTATGATGGAGCCCCCCGCAGGGGGGCGGAACACATTGCCTTCACACATACACTTTCCACGCAAAGCGAGGTTTCACATGAATTTACAACTTTCCATGCAAAGTGTATCTGTATTATTAAATAATTATCCAAAGTTGTTAAATGTTTTTGAAAAATAAATAATTGTTAATTATTCCCAGATTTGCGTGTATTGGGTAAATGCAAACTCTACAAAAGTCGGTGGCCCAGAAAAGATTGTAGAGATTGACGAAGCTCTATTCGGCAAACGCAAATACAACCGTAGTCGTTTGCTTCAAGCAAAATGGGTCTTTGGTGGATATGAGAGTCAATCTCGGAAAGTATTTCTCATGCCTGTTGCAAATAGGTCTAAAGAGACTTTGCTGGAAGCAATTAAATCGTGGATCTTGCCCAGTACAACAATTATGTCAGATATGTGGCGCTCATATGATTGCCTTAAAAATGAAGGATTCCGTCATTTATCAGTGAATCACAAAATAAACTTTGTGCACCCTGATACTAGTAAATATAATATAATAAATTTTTAAAATCTTTGCAAAAATAATAGATTAATTCTTTTTTAAATATTCTCAAAGGCAAGGTATAGAACGCACTTGGAGAGAAGTCCGACAACACATACCAAAGTATAGTACTCCGCCTACTATGCTTGTGTCAAATTTGTGTGTGTATCTTTTTCAACGTGTTTATCCATAACGAGAACGAATCGGAGCATTTTTTGATGTTATTCGGGAATTTTAACAGAATACGGAAAACATTCCGTTTTCTGAGAGAGAATTTGATTTTGTTGATATGGTGGAAGATATAGCTGAAGATTAGTAAAATAAATTTTTTTTTAAGAGCAATTTTATATATTTTCATTATAAAATTTCTTTCATAATTTTTTCAAGAACGGCACATAGTTTCTCATGTTTTTAAATATTGTAACTCTTAATTGTAGGCTAAAAGAAAGCTCTATGTAAATTTTCAACCAAATTGGAGCTGACCATCTTAATATAAAAATTTACCGAAAATAATTTATTTCACAGTCATTAATCATCAAGCTTAATTCTTCAATACACAAACTGAAATACATAAAAAAATGCAGGAAAAATGTATTATTGATAATACATAATTAATCAAACTTTGTCATGCAACCGATAAAATAGGAGAAATATATGTTATTGATGCAACCATGTTGATTGGCGATTTGTGTAATGTCTGACATTGAGTCCTGTTTGAAGACTCGAAAAAACTATTAGTTTTTTCATAACTAATTATATATATTTACATCTGATATTATACCATTTTTTCTCGGGGTGTAATGGGACTAAATCTAAAAGCTCCTCGACACATAAAAATCATCCTGCACTATTCTAACAAAAATAAGTTGACTCACTTGTCCATTATCGGTGCTTTCATCGAAGTATAATGAAAAAAAAAGAACAAGCAACTAATAAAGATTTTAATTTTTTTTTTATATGAGTAGCGATGTCTTTCACTCTTAATGCTACAGTTTTATCATTGACAAGACAGGAATACTGGTAGCATTTTCAAGAGTTAGCGAGCCTCCGAATACTTTATTTGTCTCAATGAGGCAATTTTTTACAAATTCGCCATCAATAAATGGTTTTGAATAATTTGCGAGAAAATAACTAATATTAAAAATGCAGTAAAAGCATTTTTTGAAGATGTGCTCTCATAATTATCATAAGAAACCGAGTGACTACTTTGTTGATAAATTAATTTTAATTTCTGAAATAAATTATACTTTTGTTGTGTGTCGAAAGACCACAACGTAATAATTATAGGTTAATTAGGCAATAACAATAATAAACATTTAGAAGGCCATTAATCGAGGCCACTTCTCGAGAATCCTGTGACAAAAGGTATTTAATTATTAAACAATTAGGCGCTGACGCGAGCACTCGTTCTTAGAAGCCCGAGTGTCACTTGCGTCTAAAGTAGGTTAAACAGATCAGCATTTTGGTAACACAATGGATCGATATAATTCAAGTCTCATTGTGTTCCGAATACTGATCCGTATAAATTAAGGCGGCACACAAGGCGCCGCGGGTTTTTATCAGCAAAGTTCCGGACGAAGCACGACACGTCGCGTACACGCGTAACCACGGTAGTACGGTCGCCGAATAAGTGAGGTGACAAGTGTAATAAGAGATACCAAATAAAGCTATTCTAATATATATTCAGAAGTGCCTTAAATTATTCTACACTCTCCGAGCCCAAAACCCCCTTGACCAGCACGGCGAATCCCGAATCTATACGCAGCGCCTACCGCTACCATAGTAGGCGCAACAAATTGGTGGCAGCGGTGGGATTCGCCATCTTTACCGTTTACCTGGATGTTCTGAATACCCTGATGACCTGGGCACGGCTGCAGCTGGACCAAGAAGCCTAACTCGAAGAGTTAGAAGCACAGGCGCCAGAGCTAAAAACAACGCAAAACGAAAGTTAAAGTGTTGAAACTGTTGACCAAGAAAGTGACAAGGCCGAAGCAACCCGCAGCAGCAAGCAGCAGAGGGACAGCGTGAGCCTAGCAGAACGCCGCAGGAGCTGAATCAGCGCAACCTGAGCAGAGCGGCCTTATCGCAGAGACGAACCGCGACCTGCCTCAACAGCCGACAGCCGGACGCAGAAGACAGCCCGACGCAACGGCACGAGCAGCGATTCAACATGCGAGCGATAATAATTCTGTAAGTTACTGACAAAAATTGTACACTAAAAGTTAAGCGGCGTTAATGTCCGAGGAACGCGATAACCCCAACGTGCAACTTAATCGATCCTGGCTATTCAGCAGCCAGGGCCAACGAGCGATAAGCGCACTTATAAACCCGAGTCAGGGAACACAGCGTGCGACACGCGGAAATCGCGAACTTGAAACACAGAGTAGTACCGAAAACGCGAGCGAGAATCCGGAAGTCCACGAGAATATAGAAGTAAATCGACACTACTCTTTCGGGGAAATAGATACTAGTCTAATACCCGAAAGTGAGGATAGGGAAACGCGTCGAAACAGACAAATAGGCAGTAGAACACCGAGTCGCGCGTCAGCAAATAGCGAGTCCGGACTGACCTCATACGATAGCAGTATATTCGATCCGCGCGAGATAAGATACCGGAGCACGATGGCCCAAGCACCGCGCAACATAACTGCCAGCGCGATAGACGAGGATATAGAATCGTTACGCGAACAACTAAGTAACGAAGGCGAAGAGACCGTAATAGAGGCCGGAACGCATAGAAATCGCGAAACTGAGCAGATGGAAATAATGGTCGAATTTATGAGCGACATGCGAGTTCAACTACAAGGGATACAGGAACACTTCCACACGCAAATACTACGCTTACAAGAGCAGTTCGTCGATCTACAAGAACAGCAACGCGATATAAGAAACACGATCCGACCAGTCGCGTTCGGGCCTGATAATAGGGCACAGGTTTCACCACGACGTGTAACAGAGACGAACGTGACATACGGACGTGGCCCATCCGATATACGGAGTAGGTCCCTACCTGCGACCAGCTACATGCAATTAAAAGAGGCGCGGAGTATAATACCGGAAATTGACGGTACCTCGCAGCACAAAATTCAAGAATTTTTAAGCGCAAGCACATATGCAATGGAAAGCATAAATCCTACAGAAGAGTCACAGTTACTCAAGGCCATATTGTGCACTAAGCTAAAGGAAAGGTCATGCTCGATTTCCAGACGCGAAACATACAAACGTTCGCGGAACTGAAGCAAGAACTCGAGGTATGCTATACGACCCGTAAAAGCATTGCTCACCTGCAGTTAGAGTTTAACACACTCAAGCAAAAGCAGGGGAGGGCGCTCAAGCATATGGCCTGCGAGTGGATCAGCTCGCAATGAAACTCTATGAGTCAACGATTGAAGGCAAGGGACACACCGTGGCCGAAAAGAACACGATTAAGGGAACAATACAAGGCCAGGCCCTGCAAAATTTTCAATTAGGATTGCAGGAGGACATAAAAATAATAGTCCGATCGCGGAACTACAGCAATCTGCAAGAGGCGATAGCAGTGGCTGCCTCAGAAGAAAAAATGAGAGGCCCAAACGTAATGAATAAGCCTAATTACAAAGCGGTAGGTACCACGCGAGAAAAACCACCGCAATGTGCAAAATGTGGCAAATGGGGCCACCACGGACGCGAATGCCGCACAAGTCGCTTCGCTAACCGATTCAACTTACCCAAGGCGGACGGACAAAGAGTAAACGCTCTTGAAAAATATTGCAAGCATTGCAAAAAGACAGGACACTTGCGCGACGAGTGTTGGCTGCTAAACGGCCGACCCGAAAAGGGGGCCAACTCAAACGATAATGTACGCCCAAGAGCCATTAAATACACTAAAAGTGATAAGGGCAAGGGCGACGATAGCGACAACGAGAGCGAGGT